AAGAGCCTTTAGAGGTCATTCGGTTCATAATAGCGTCACCACCACACCCTGGGGAATATAAAAACTTTCACATTTATGACAATTAAATAAGTATCATTCATAAAAGCATTAGCTTACAATGTTACTAACAAATGGGTACAAATTAACAGAGTACAGACAGAGCACAGACAGAGTAATTGACACCCAAGTGCCTGTCTCCTTTGCTGAATGACGAAGGTGGAGGTTTTTGGGAAAATAATTTTGCTGGAAGACAAACATGGAGGTGCTTTGCGAGTAGAACTTTGCTGGATGACGAAGATGGAGGTGCTTTTGGAGAAGAACTTTGCTGGATGACGGAGATGGAGGTGCCTTGGGAGAAGAACTTTGTTGGATGACGAAGATGGAGGTGCTTTGGGAGTAGAACTTTGCTGGATGACGAAGATGGAGGTGCCTTGGGAGAAGAACTTTGCTGGATGACGAAGATGGAGGTGCCTTGGGAGAAGAACGTTGCTGGATGACGAAGATGGAGGTGCTCTGGGAGAATAACTTTCTGGATGACGAAGATGGAGGTGCTTTTGGAGAAGAACTTTGCTGGATGACGAAGATGAAAGTGCTTTGGGAGAATAACTTTTCCGGATTATGCTGGATAACGAAGATTTGAGAAAAACTTTGTGAGAAGAATCTATCTCTACATTTGAGTATTTCGAGCTACGGTAAGCAAAGAAGTAAATGCTTAGAACTTTAAGAGAACTTATAATATCCCTACTATGTTCAGACATCGCGTGAAGATCAAAGGGGCCACAACTCAGATTCCCGACAAATCAACACTTAACGTCAAGCTCAACTCAATTGAACTTGAGTAACCTTTACCAGAGACCTTTGAAACGAGACTGTAATTGTAAAGGACTTAGTCAGTTAATGAAAGTAAGTTTGCAGCTGTTCGACAAAAGTATGTCACGACAACTTTTATATTTCAAGGCCTATCCATTCTTTGTTCCCACGGCAAAAATTGAGTCGTATTGAAAACAATAATTAGATTAATTTCTTTCGAGTTCCCACCGGAACGGAATAGATCCGTGTAAATCGACCTTGTTGTGATAAATTGAATTTTACAGGTAAAGATCTAACTTCAGAATATCTGTAGCTATACTGTAGCAGCAGTGAAGTGACTCACTGATCGTGAAAATGGAATAATTGCCTATTTTGACTCATTAGCGATGACGAACTGTATAGTTGGTGTAATACAAGAACTCACAATGAACCTTTAAACTCAAAACAAAGACTTGGCAAGGTATTACGCTGATGACTTGACGTTATCATGCTTGAAGCAAACGTGAAAAGTTAGCGTGTGTTTAGAACTACTTGCTTCTTGATATGATAATGGATAGGCGCCTACTAGGCTGTGGTCACTTGTACGCCTAGCAATCGAATGAATAATCAGATTGTTAGTGTCCACTCAATTGATTCAAAGCCGATGGTTAATACGCAATTGTTGTTCAAACAATGGTCTTTAAACTTTAAAAATTATAGGTACGATATAAACATTTCCATTTTAACTAAGAAATGGCAGATAAAAATATACCCAGACGCCACCACACACGTCTAAAATTAATTTCGATCGACAAAAGAAGTCTGCAAAAAGGGGGATGAGTCATTCAGAATGTCATCGTTCCGGATATGTTCTACACTGTAGTCAAACTGAATGCTTTGGGCAATCAATGAACTGACACAAAAATCCAGACTGTAGGACCGGTACGGTACAATGGGCAAGGCCGTGGCTTGCGATTCATGCAGGTGCGCCGGCGTACTATCAATATAGGGTGTCCAGATTCAACTGGAAGGGGGCGGATAGCGGAACTATAAACCAGTGATAGGCTGTATGAGAACAGAAGGCTAAGCAATTAAGATTATTTAGACTAATATGATGCAGAAAAAAAAAGTGTCAATGTTAGTTTCAAAAACACAGCATCAGATGCAGATGCATCATTCTGGTAATTTGTGATCATATCAAAGCTAAAACCCTCCAGACCTTTTCAGTGGAAAATTTCAGTTATATAAATGTAGGTAATCAATGATTGTATTAGAAGATATGAGAGATAAGGATTAAAAGGGATTTCTGACACCAATATCATGTTTCTAAGAAGTCGAGTTATACTGTGTTTAATTGTCCGAATGAAGACTACGCCCATGGCAACACTCTTACGCAGGTATCAGCGCTGTATAATTTGCGCAAACACCTTTATCGCGCCTAAAACACTTTAATTTGGAGTGGTTACTTCATTGCTTGCTCATGTGATAACTGTATATGTGACTATGTCATGATGTACCTAATTCCTTTTAAAAATCGTTGGCTTATGAATCGTAGCTGATAAACGTTTATTGATGATGACTTCAACATAATACTTTTGGTACATATTGGAGACATGACATTAGTGTCATAAGTTCTGAGTCAAAACAGACCTAAGTTCTGTTCTGACTCAGAACTTAGGTCAAAATTAAATATTGTCAATGCCGTACTTTAATAGTAGTTAAATAGCGAATAATGACGTAGTATTTGATATTGAGAACTAGGAACCACTATAAAACAATTTATCAACGATATGCTAAGAAGGTCGCAAATGAAATGAAGCGTTTCTATTTCTTCTACTAAGTCCTATTTTTTATGGAACTGGAAAATGTTTCTAGACTATTAGGGAAGTAGATAATGAATAGGTAATGGAGAATAATAGTGATGTTTATTGAGGAAAATCCCATAGGTGTCATATGTCATGCTCTAATGCCAGTATTATGCAAGGTTGTTGGTAGCTACCTAGTAATCATAAAGTGAATAATTAGTTACATGAATAAAAACATGCAAAATGATTATTGGCGTTCGGAAGATATCCTACGAACTTTAAATGTAAATCCATCCATCATCAGGTCACTTACTTTCCTTGACTGACTCTGTTTTTTTTAGCAAAATGGAGGATTTGGGCAACACTCTCCATTCAATTTGCAAAAAAAAAAAAGATAGAATACAGCGCCTAGCAGCGATTAGCAGAGAAACCTGCCCGCCTGAAATAATTTGGACTGAAGAATCTGGTAGCGCTTTCCTTATCTCCTCAAGCATTATGATATTCATTGGTTGTCCATAAAATCCAAGTGAAATCAGCAGTGGGAGATGGCGTATGTGACTGCACCAGACAGTCTGCCAATAGAGAGAGATGGCGGGAGATCGTGCGGAGAGTTGTATCCGCCTCTACAACCGATATGAACAACGCCTCAACGTGACCACGACCGCTCTGCCAAGAGCGTAACGATTAAGAAGAAGAAGATAAAATCCAACAACTTTATCCGACTAAGTAAATAGGTATTTTGGTGGACTTAATTCATTCGACAACAAACAGAACGTGCAGTTTTTTGCAGTGTCGCCACTTTCGCCCGACCGTCACACTCGCGCGACGCTGTAGCGAAGGCAGACTGTGTTACCTACTTTAATTGTTTAATGCAAAATGATGGATTGGAGTTCATCGGCCAGCGTTCGAAATTACTGATTACGTACCATAGTAACTAGACAACTATTCTAGACGTGTTACCTAACGATTATACAGGGTGTTAAAAAAGTTTAAAGAAGCTGGAAACTACGAATTCCTAGAACCAAGTTATTCAGAAAGAATATTATACTGATATCTTTTCTACATTCAGACTCTTTAAATCATCAGTACCATGACTCCTCAAATGGAAGCCTTGGATTGTTAAAGACGTACTACACCGCAATACTGTGGATTAATAAAATTTTTCATCAATAACAATCCATATTGTCGGCCGTTTGGTTTAGTGGTTCAGAACGGACTACTGTGCCAAGAGGTCCCGGGTTCGATTCCCGGTCGGGCAGAAATTGAAATGATGAATTTTAATTTCTGCGACGGGTCTGGGTGTTTTCTATGTATAATATGTATGTATTTACAAAAAAAAAAGTATTTAGGTATGTTTATATCCGTTGTCTAGTACCCATAGTACAAGCTTTGCTTAGTTTGGGACTAGCGGCGCAGTGTAAAATGTCTAAGGATAATTATTTATCATATACAAGGTATTATACAAACTAATATCTATAACAGCCATTCAACAACTTATTTACGACAAAAAGCCTAGCCTATTTAAGTAATGAATACTTTAGAATTGCTATTATGTAGGCTCAAAGCGCATGTGGCAAAACATTTACCAACCTACACATTGTTTTCTCACCGCACCATGATTTATGTTAATGTTATGCTTGAATAACTTACAGATGCAATTGGCTGGGTCAAATGAAACCAAGGTGATGAACATCTGTTTTGGTAACTAGCTATAACTGTATAATTTTCCTTAATATGAATACGGTGTTCCAAGAAATGGCAGAAGGAAGCAATTGATAAATTAATTAAGTAGGTACCAAGAAAATTATGACGGTGTCATATACGTAATTACTGCAATTAAATCAAGTTTATTAGTTACATGTCATAGGCTAAGCTCAAGTCTAAATTTAACGGTGGTGTAATCTACTATAGTATGAGTTTTCCTCCCTTATCAGTGGAGATAACGATGCTTATTCAGGTCAATATCTGGTGATAACAGTCGTCTAGCTCTTAGGCGTTATTTGCCACTAGTAGTAAAGGATATAATACATTTAGCCTTGTTCTCTACGTGATAAGTGACACTTCTGCTAAATTTATGACTGCATTGATACTTGTACGGGCAAAATTCATTTGCAGTAATGTATGACATTGTACAGGCATAACTTTACAGTAACATTTTAAATCATTCACACAAGAAACGCATGAAATTGGAATTTAAAAATTGTGAAGTAGGTAAATAGGTAATACATGAAAATATATGCGAAGAGAAGCATCAAATTGTGTTAAGAAAATTCCTTAGCAATAATTTACAAGACTAATGACCTTATACACAACTTAGGCAGCTATGACTAAAATAACGAATATCAACGGAATATACTGCCAATCCTTAAAAAAAATGCTCAATGGCACTATAAAAAGTACACTTACCCTTAATCAGCGGTTCCGATACAATGTTGACGTCTTCTTGCGGGATCATGTCCATCAGGCGTGCAATATCCGTCGCCAGCATATGATCTACGACCTCGAGAAGCTTCGGTTTCAACGGGTGGAACTTCGTGAAATCGTGATTTGCTAACGTCTCCTGCATCTTCTTAATATCGGGGAAGTCGCCGGGAGATATCTGTTGTTCTCTTTGGATTCTATCATACACCTGACCCAGATTTTTAATCAATTCCTTCTTTTTACCGTCTTTGCCGAACATTGAAGGCATTTCTTTCCTCAATTCACTGACAATATAAGCGTGAACCTTCGCCAATCGTGCTCTTTTGATTAGGTCATTCAGTTTACGTAAAGCAGCGTTCCTAGGTAATGATTGCATGTCTCTGAAGAGATCCTGCTCTTCATCTTCAAATAACCTTCTGTTAACATCGTATCGGAGAGGTTGGTCCCAGAATGAACCAATGTAAACGCGAGCTACCTCAGGCGTTTGAAGCACTTTACCTAGTGACCACATGAGAGCACCATACACTCGCATGAGCTGTTGGTGGTCAATCATGTCAGCCTTGTTTAGTACAATGCGGATTTTATCGTCGTGCCCCCTCAGTGCTTCAATACTGCGTCTGAATTCGTCTGATATATCTAATTTGTGGGCGTCAAACAAAAGGATAATGCGGTCGACACGTTCTGCAAACCATTCCAAGACTCCTGTGAAGTCATAGCCTCGGTCTACACGCTGTTTCTCGCCAGACAGAATGCCGGGGGTGTCTACGATAGAAATGCCGCGAAGCACGGGAGAACTGACCGTGGAACATTGGAATCTATTTAAAAATGCATTTCCAAACTTGCTGAGCGGCCGGAACTGTTTTTTGGGGTCGACGACGAGTGCGTTACCAGGTATTACGCCCTCTTTTTCATCGTACATCACCGCTATAAACCTATCTGTTGTCGGCTCCGGTCCGATACGAATGCCCGGAAAGTCTCGCTCCAAAAGATATTTGATAAACGTAGTTTTACCAGTCGAATATTGCCCGACGAGCAATATCATGGGCTTTGCATCGAAATCTGGCTCTTCTAGCTGCGGTGAGTGGAAGTCATGAAACTGATAGTGCTGTTCCAGCGGTAAAAGTTTCGTTTTGTAAATCCTTTTGAGACCCTCCACGACATTTTCGATACTTTCGGATTTTTCACCTTCCTTCTTTAGCCAGCTAAACATGGTTGCGGTGACAGACTCCGCTGCAAAACAGAGTAAATAACACAGTCACTATTTCACTCACAGCACCACTTTTGACCGAATTTTATAACAAATACAGAGAGACCACCGCAATCATCCTCCTCCACGAAAAAATGAAAATGATTACGGATTATCGCGGATGACGTTGACGTACATGCGATCGTGACGTGAGGACGTGACTGCTAATCAGTGTTACTAGCAACAAATATTAAAATATTTCCTCAGACATGTGTTTATGGTTTACAAAAAGAACGGTTTCAGTAAGTTTCGGAACGGATTATTTTAAACAGAATTGCCAGAAAATAAAATTTACCCTACAACTCGGTAAATCAAAAATCAATTTTAGGGGTATTTATAATTTATTTTGTACATCACAGTCCACCAACAAAACAAATCAGATTTATATTTCAATCCTAACTCCTAAAGCACCTGTATCCTAACCACGGATCGGTCCACTCGAGTTGGCCTCATTTTTCTTGCACGTTCTATTTAGCTAGGTTTTATCGATCTATCCATCCGGTTACGTTTCTTGCACATTAACTTTTAAGAAAAGATATTTTTTTCAACAGATTTAGAGTAACCAGCGCCTTACTCTGAAACCACGGCACGCGCCTTCGGCCAGCGCGACTCAGCAGCGCGCGCATGACCAGGGGAATGCGGATTGCTGTGAAACGAGTCTTAGTATCGCGCGTTTCTGTGCGGTGTACAGTTGTGTTTAATTAATCTTCATCATGGAGACAAACTGACTAAGAGGATAAGCTATTTATTTTTTATGGAAAAGAGCGCAACAGTTTATTAAGCGCAATTGTAAGCGCGCGCGTGTGGCCGGCGCCGGTCAAACGCTTGACTCTGAAAATCAGCCTAACTAATTGGAAGAACTGAAAAAACCGCTCCGTCCGCGTCAACCCTTGTCCCATCAACTTGCAACACTCCAACTGTCAATGTCATTGTCATGGTCTTCATCGCGTCATGTCATGCGGTTGCGGTTGTTGTAATTCGTGAAAAACTTTGATTTAATGATAAAACATCGATCGTAAACCAGTAAAAATGACTATATTTCACGACGAGATCGAAATAGAAGACTTTGAATATGACGAAGATGATGAAATGTATTACTACCCGTGCCCGTGCGGAGATCGTTTTCAGATTAGTAAGGTTAGAATCCTCATTGTTTTTATATCACCATCTATAGTTTTTGAACACTTACAACTACTCTACCATATGTGTTGATCTGTAACAAGTTTGTAATGAGTGTGTTTACATTATATTTTTCTTGGTTACAGGAAGAACTGATGGCAGGGGAAGAAGTAGCGACATGTCCAAGTTGCTCTCTTGTTGTCAAAGTCGTTTATGATTTAGTAAGCCTTATTATTATTTAATCTAGAACTGTAAGCACTTGCCAGTTGGAGGTAAATTTAGTCTCAAATGTTGTGGGCATTTGTGTTGTTTATTATCTGTATTCATTCGGCACCACATCCCATTCAAAGTTACTGGTGTAAATCAGAGATGGCACTAAATATTTATACCTAATTACTTTCTAGTTAGTTTTAGAGAACTCACAATCTGGTAATTTAAAGTTCCAGACAAAAAGACGATCAAAACATAATGGCATCTTACTTGAAATGGACACAATGTTGTTACAAAACTGTACATTCTTATAATAATATGTTCTTGTGTACATAATAGGTGTAATTTTGAAGAGCTGTTTCTTTCTCAGGACAAATTCAAAGCGGAGGCTGAAGAAGTGCATAAGGAGGACGGAGACAAGGAAACCGTGAAGGCGTAAATGCCAGTGAGAATGAACTTCTCCAAGCGAGGAATCCCTTGACATGCCCTGAACAACAATGAAATTGTTGAACATGTTATTACAAGAAGAGGACAGTCAGTGTCTGCATGGATGCACTATGAACATAGTTCAATTTATGCTGTGATTCAGATGTTTTAATAAAGTTTATTATTTTAGTAATTTTTCTTTGTTTTATTCCTTTGTTTCAGTCCTTGCCGCACACTAGGCGACACGCGATAGCGCGGCGACTTAGATCCGACGACAGGCTGCGGCCGACAATTTCATAATATATTTTGTTCAAATCTCCTCCCCACACTTGGCGTCAGAGTCGCGACGACAAGCAATCGTCAAGAATAGGCGTCTAGTCCCCAAATTGTCGCCTAGTGTGCGCATACACTTGATAATTAAATAATATATCATACCTATATGACAAATAAAACACAATTAGGTTTATAAGTGGTCTATTTTACACTCCTTAAAAATATGATAAACGCACTGTCAACTTACCTAATGTATAATAATACTCTACAATTAAATAAATAAAGTCACATTGATAGTAAAGAAACATTTTTGACTAGCTATTTAGTTAGAGTACACCTTCTCTCTACAGTTGGATATAACTGTTTAGACTCAAAAAATTAACAGCATTTTCTTTTTCAGTTAATAGCAAAAAGTATCTTATTACTTTACATTTTGATCAGAATTTAATTTGCAAGATATTTGTTTTTTAAATTTTTTTGTAAACCTATACAGACACATCCAACTGCACATTACACTATGCATATTGTCATTTATTAATTATAACAATTTTTCACACGCTATTCTCCATTCCGATATTCAGATAGGTAGGATTTAGTAAATAATTTGAGAAGTACATTTTATTTTACAAATTACAATGATTTACCGAGATGTCATAAGTATCTTGAAATAACATGTAATTGAATTAACGCATTTGTTACTTTAAAATTAAGAGTACAATAATACTTATAGATTATTACAAAATAAACACCACCTACGAATCAAAAACAGACCAAAAATAAAAAAAAATAGATTCCAAACAATCATTTACGAAAATAAAGAAGTATTATAAAATATTGATTAATAATAAAAAAAATCATTGGCGCGATGGTGTGTCAAAGAATTATCGTTATTTCAATCACATGTTGTTTAATGGTCAATACTATATTTATTATACTAATCATACACTTGGCAGAATCAATGGAAGATGGTCAAATATTCTGAATTGTAAATATCTAAACAAATATATTGTCATCTATGTGAATTAGTAGAAACCGTGGGATAGAATAGTATTAGAAACAAAATGTATATGTTTACACAGTAGTACTACAATGTACAGAGAGTGAATGTGCTTGAGACACAATTACATTTCGAATAGTGGTTTAGATATGGGCCCGTATTTATGAAACGAAGCTCAAATCTCCTTTCAAACTCAAGAACAAATTATTTCCATTTTAACCATTAATCCCTAATTTTTTAAGAGTACCCTATGGGGTGACTATTGGACGAATAAATTCGTCCAAGGGGTGACTTAAAAATTGGGGTTGTTGGTAAAACAGCTGACATCTGAAGTGATTGCTGACATTTGACGTCACAAAAAATCCCTCCCGTGTCGCACCCATACGTCAGGCACAGACCCGGTCATGCGCTAACTAAAGGCCTATTCAGACCTAAGCGGTATTCGCTACCGTCTGCGGCAGAGAAAACCCAGTGGGTATGCGGTAATAATACTGTTCAGACCTAAAGCCTGGTCCGTGAGCACGTAGAATCCCGTCCTCGCTCGCACACTCACTGCGGGCGCCCGTCGCACAGTCGCGACAGCAACATAATTACGCGCGAGCGATAGGGATGGGTAGCTTGGGGTCATTGGACGGGATTCTACGTGCTCACGGACTAGGCTTTAGTCATATTCGCTACCTGAGCGATATTCGCTGCCGCTGTGGGTAGAGGTACATACCGCGCGGGTTTCGCTCAGGTATTTAGTATCAAGTATCGCGGCTAGAGCGACCTGAGCGATATTCGCTGCCGCTGTGGGTGGAGGTACATACCACGCGGTAGCGAATACCGCTTAAAGCCTGGTCCGTGAGCACGTAGAATTTTGTCCAATGACCCCAAGCTACCCATCCTTATCGCTCGCGCGTAATTATATTGCTGTCGCGACTGTGCGACGGGCGCCCGCAGTGAGTGTGCGAGTGCGACAGCGACATAATTACGCGCGAGCGATAAGGATGGGTAGCTTGGGGTCATTGGACAAAATTCTACGTGCTCACGGACCAGGCTTTAGGCCTTAAACCTATTAGCTTGACTGTAGACTCAAATTTGAGATTCATTTCAAATTACGGGCCATAGAATCGATCTGTGCATAATACAAAACACCTTAACAACTAGGCAAGCATAAAGCCTAACATACAGGAATGACCAATCACATTTTTTATTAAGTACTGACAAATACATTGCAACTGTGCAGTTTAACATATAAAATCCGAAAGCATTTTTGTAAGCATGTACTTATTTGAAGCCTATCGTTTTTATCACACAAAATCTCTAAAAATATTTATCTCAGTTAGTTATCATTGAAAGTAAACTAAATAAATCTATTTTTAACTCGATTTATTGATCTATGTCATTAATCAAACTGTGTAGAAACATGAATATGAAATGTTAATAAGATTGGTATGGTTAAATGATTGCAACGAAATCATAGGCCATTTATCTTTCCAATCTAACTAGTAGTAGTCTGTAGTAGGTCTAAGAAAAGAATAATCTTGTTTAGTGTATTTATGTTAATTTGATGAAAAAAATGCTACAAAATAAGGTACCTAATATTAAAAAAGAGTTAACACTTGCATATGCATATCACTTTTTATTAGCTAAAATAATAAATATAAAAAATATTCATATAAATTGGATATAAAAATAAAAAAGGGAAATAAATAATGTAAGCCCTTTGGAATAAGTTAGTAATTTTAGTAAAATAAAATCTAAATTTTTGGCTTTTTCGAGTCAAATTAAATTGTAAAGGAATACTCGAGATCATTACCGAACGAATTTATGTCAAAATCTATTGTTTCTTAAACTCTTTTTGTCCACTGACCCCTTAGGACAATTTTCAATTTTAAGGACCCTCTTAATAATAAAGCAAACGAGATTTTTTGTGGCATTTATTTATGATTGTTAAATAATCCATAGATAAGGCTACGTACTCCCATAAGAAACACTGTCTTAATCAGTTTACAATAGAGAGCATATTGGGTTGTGTATGTTGAAGTGCCGCACCGCTGCCTCTAAGGCCACGTTGTTTGAAAACTGACCTTATTGGATTGCAATAAGGTTACATGGCAGCAACTAAGGATCATTTTCGCTTCATATGAAATCAAACCTCATTTTCTTGAAATAAGGTTAAACCGTCCCGCTAGAGATAGTATTCAAAAACAGACCTTATTCCCTTGCATTAAGGTTTAGGCGGTTCTCGGCAGCGGTTGTGGAGGAGGCAAAGCGGCCGGGATGGGACACTATGTTGATTTCAATTTTCACGACCGAATAAGATCCGACGATTCTATACCTTACTGCTTTATAAGAAGGTTGTAATTTCAATTATGACAGCAAATGATCGCTTCGCTAGACTTAGTATTCAAAAACAGAACTTATTTGTTTCGGAATCAGACCTGATTGGCTTGATTTGAAGGTTAAACCGTTCCACTAGTGATAGTATTCAAAAACAGACCTTATCGGCTTGTAATAAGGTTCATCCTTAAGCGGTCCTCGGCAGCGGCTGTGGAGGGGGTGAGGCAGCGGGGAGGGGCGAGTGTATGTTGAAGTGCCGCACCGCTGCCTCTAAGGCTACGTTGTTGCCGCTGAAGTAAGCAGACACCGCGTTGTGGAATAGTAGGAGCTGTTTGTTCATCACTTTCACCTGCAAAACAATATTAAACAGGTTATTTTTATCACGAATGCAAAGTTGACTGAATTGGTAACCGTAAAAATAAATCCTTGGTACTTAACGCAGTCATATCTAGCCTCATTAAACTAAGCAAAAGTGCCTGCAGACTACACTGTCCTTATTTACCTAAACATGTACGAATGTTGCATCTCTGTTTTGCCAATTCGCCATGTTTTTTTTTTTTTTTTTTTTTTTTTTTTTTTTTTTTTTTTTTATTCATTATTGAGCAATTACATATTTGATCCAAATAGCGTCCTAAATCCTTTTTAGGTTTGTCTAGACACTATTGTTCTCTATACAAATAAAAACAAACGTTTTAGTATAAGCATTCACAACACTTTCAGATATACAAAATATTATTTTAGCGAGTGCGCACTACGATGACGAAAGACTCGACGTTCGATCGCGATCGCAGACCGGTTGGGTACGCATTGTCGTTGTGTGCGTAGATAGTACACAAAGCCCCGTCCAGTCGTCCGCCACACGCATCTGCGCTTGCGCCCGCCTTTATAGGATGTTCCAATTTGGTACACGCTAATCATACAATTGTATGTACATGTGATGTGCGGTAGTAGTATGTAGTTTAAATTAATTACGTTAATAATTAAGGAGATATAGCTTACGCAAAGAAAGAAAGAGAATTTTTAGCATAATAATAATTTCATGTATTACTTTGAAGATATCGTGTTAAAGTTGTTTTGATATTATTTTTATTAATTTTATTTTTTATTTCTAATGGCATTTTATTGATTAGATGGGGAATGATATATTTACTTGTCCTTTTTCCATATTCGTTCGTAGTTTTCGGGATAAATAGTTTTTTATTAGTGATGCTTCTAGTACCTATTTTGTGATTTACTGGGATTTGAGTATCTTTTTCAAAATATTGCTCCATCAGTAAATTATATTGGACTTTTTTATGTATAGGTAACACACCACAATATTGAAATAGTCCTTCTGGATCTTCTCGAAATTTATTTTTTATTTTATTAGGGACTATTAATTTGAGTAGCCTATGTTGTATAGTGAAAATTTGATCAAGGTAAGTTTTATAAGTACGGCCATAACTACTCAGACCGTAGGATAAAATACTATCTACCAAAGTCTTATATATTGTCAATAGGATGTTATACGGTACTTTGCCCTTAATTATATAAAGCTTTGCCATGATTGCTCTAAGTTTTTTTGATACTTTATCAATGTGCTTAGCCCAGTTAAGTCTATCATCAATCACCAATCCAAGATATGTGTGATCAGCCACTTGCTCAAGCACCAGGCAGCTGTTGGAACACTGCACATCCGCGTGAAGACAATCATGACTATGGGCCACTACCTTCACGCTTACATTAGTCAAATAATGATTACGCCCAGAGCGGACATGAATAAGTTTGGTTTTATTAGCGTTGAGAACAAGTCCCGAGTCATGCGACCACTTGCAGATTTCAGTGAAATCCTCTTGAATGCGTTGTTGTGCAACCAAGGGATCTTTATCTGCTGCCAGTAAACACGTGTCGTCCGCGAACTGGTATACCGTACAATACCTAATAACATTAACTAGGTCGTTGACGTATGTAAGATAATGCAATGGACCAAGAACTGACCCCTGGGCTGTGCCTTCGGTGACATTGACCGTCTCACTAAGCATATCCCCTATTTTGACCTGATAGCTGCGATGGCTTAGGTAGTCTGTGCACCAGTCCAATAACTTGCCTCTTACTCCACTATTTTCTAGCCTTTTTATTAGCAGGTCATGGCGCAACGTGTCAAATGCCTTCCCGTAGTCTATAAATACTAAAATTACGTGTTTTTTATCATTAAGATGCTCATTAACTTCGTCAGTAAATCGGGACAGAAGCATCGTTGTGCTTTTCTTTGGTTGAAAACCATATTGTTGAGAGGATAAAATGTAATTGTCTGAAAAGAATTTTTGAATTTTTCTGCACGTAAACTTTTCAACCACTTTGTCTATAACTGGCAAGATTGTAATTGGACGGTAGTTACCATATTCTTGTGTGTTTCCCCCTTTGTAAATTGGTCTAACTATGCCTATTTTTAATTAAATCATGTAATCATGTCGCTGTAGTGACGTTGCGTATGACCGTTTTGGCTTTTGGTTTTTTATTAGACAGAAAGTGTATACAGGGTGGAATATTGTGTGGTTGGCATACATTTAGTATGGAAGGTGGAAACATTGAATTTTTGGATAGATCCAGTTAATTCTGTAAACTATTATTGATACCGTTTGAAAAGCTTGTAAAGTACTTTCAGGGTCAGTAATCAGTTTTTTGATACCTTGTATAGTATATAAATAATCGAGTGAGATCACTTATCGTTTCCACCCTGTCTAGTATCAGTCATGTACCAGTGGCCGCAGCCCGCACACTCGCCCTGCTGTCACACCAGCGGCCGCAGCCCGCACACTCGCCCTGTTGTCACACCAGCGGCCGCAGCCCGCACACTCGCCCTGTTGTCACACCAGCGGCCGCAGCCCGCACACTCGCCCTGTTGTCACACCAGCGGCCGCAGCCCGCACACTCACCCTGTTCTCGTGCAGCAGTTTGAGCTTGACGGCCGAGTCGTCTCGAAGGCGCTCGTAATGGCGTCGGTGGCGCTCAATGTTGCCCAGCAGCAGCTCGGGCGGGTTCCCACCGCTGGCTTCTAGCTCACTGCGGTACGCGTCGTATTCCACTCTGCAAGATTAACAAGATTCATCATCAGTCAAGTATTATGATCATCAACAGATCATTAAGACTGACCACTGGACCTTCTGGACAAATGCAGGATTTGGATTCCATTCCCCATGCTGGCCAGACGGTTTGGTATAGATGATTCATCATCAAGTTACTGAATCTCCACTGAATACTATACCAGAGACAAATGCAGGATTTGAATTACATTCTCCAAGCTGGCTAGACGATTTAGTAAAGATTTATCACCATCAGGTCATTGAGTCTCCACTGTAGGAGTATAGCCTGGTTTTATTTGCCTGAGGCACATTACACTCCCTACACTGGCACAAACGGTTTAGTGTGATTCATTCAATCCAGTTTTATTTTCCAAGAACAAATGGAAGATTTGACCTGCAATTCCAACACTGACGAGACAGGGTAGCACAGGATAATTTCTCCACATAACCCGTCGCCATGACTACAGCGGCGGGTATGCAGTTTTATGCAGTTATGCAGTTTTATCCACGTAAAAAAAAGGATAATTTCAGATGTCAACATTATTCTTACGTTGTCTCTCTTTCACGAATCGTAGAAGGAAAGTTTACGGAAGTATTAAACGGATAAGACGCTTAAAGATAACTAAGTAAAATTCGTGGTGTTAATACCTAGCCGCTTCATACTGCCGGATGGTCAGTAAGGTGTCCTCGATGGTCTTATTGGTGAGGGTGTTGAGCGAGTTGTTGAAGAAGTGCAGCGCCGCTAACAACGTCTCGCCATTCCTGGTCAGCGAGCGCTGGGTGTCCGCGTTGTACAGGAATCTGGAAGTTATATTTAATTATGTTAAATCCGGCTCGAAGGACCAATATAAAATTTAGATTGATAGGTGTTATAGTTTAAGAAGGTCAAACAACTGCGTCGTATCAACCGCTAATGGGATTTACTGAAGCACAGCTACATGACGTCCACTGCAACACATGATATAGACCTCCAGATGATGATTGATAATGATGTTTTCCAGATTGACCGGGTGAGGTAGCAGCCTGCATCCAGCACCTGTCTGCTACCTTTATGAGGTCATCTCCACCTTGTGGGTAGACGTCCCACGCTGCGCTTTCTGGTACGTGGACTCCATTCCAGAATCTAGCTGCTACATCGTTGGTTAGTTGCCCATTGCCGCTTCAGCTTGCTAATCCGTCGGGTTATATCAGCGATTTCTTATAGCTAGTGCCGACATCTCTCAGGGAAGCTAGACACCTACTGGTTCTGCAGCTCCGGCGACTTCTGCGCGAGTTCCGCGAAGGCCTCGCCGAGCGCGCGCTGCGTGTGGCCGGCGGCCGTCAGCTGCGCCGTGAGCGCGGAGCTCAGGCGAAGAATGCCGTTGTATTTGCGCTGCGTCTCGCGAAGCATCTCGATTTGGGCTTCCAGTTCTGTATAAGAACAATTGTTTGGTCAGCTAAGCCTTCAATTGCCTTATGAGACACTAGTTCAAGTGCTCAGCTTTTCAATCAATTAGTTCCCAAATGACTCACCACTTGGACATCTTGCCGGCAAGCAAACTGTGTTGTCGAAAGAATTGTAAGAATCACAATTCACTTGCCAATTTAATTAGAACAAATATAAAAACAACATAATTTTACTTAGATTTTACGATTTGCAAAATAAATCGACCGCTTGACAATTTATTTGTTTGATATTATGCATGTTCCAATACAGCCATGAAAATACAATTCTTTAATGTGATTGTGACGACGAATTTTATTCAACTTGTCAAATTAAGCCATGCCTTATGAGACACAAGTACGGAAAGCAATTTTCTAGTTCAAGTGCTCAGCTGAGGTGTAGAATACCGTTGTATTTGTGCGCATCTTTCGAAGCTTCTTTGGACTTCCAGCTCTGTAAGTGATGTGCTATCATCAGTTAAACACTTGGTGACTATGAGTTATTAAAATTATATTTTGAGCTAATGTTACCCAGATTGATTGTACCTATATCTATTATAATTCTCTGTGTACAGTAGAATCTCGATTATCCGGACTTCGATTATCCGGACTCAATCTTCATGGCTCTAATTAACGATTTAGGGCCTGGAACCATCAATAGGGCACAGCGCCGCCTATGATACGGCTCGGCGCCGCCACCGAACACGGTACAGACGTCGTCTTGGTTCACTGTTAATAGAAATTGGCTCACCCATTGGTCTAAATGATTTAAACTAACCATTTTCTATAAGTAAAAAGTTAATTATTGTTCGATTTTACTTTGAAATCGATTATCCGGAATACCCCTGGTTTTAATTGATCCGGATAATCGGGATTCTACTGTATTTTCATAGTATCTCTTTGTTCTAAAAAACTTGTACCTGTACAAAATGTTTCATTAAGCTTCAATGTGTCCAGGTTTTATTTAACTTGCAGTTGCAGCTCAATCCAATAAAAAACCATACAAACCTGTATCTACAGTCCTGGAGCTTTTACCGAGCTTTTCGTACAAGATTTGCTTCGTGCATTTGTAAGTAGAGACGCTCCAGTTGCGGAGGGACTCCAGTTTTGTCGAGCCAGCTCGGAGAAGAGTGCTGGAGCCTGCAGCGCCATTTTGTGATACGTCTGGTGGAGCTGTAGTATGATACAAATTATTACTATCTGTTTGGAACTTAGGAGTGATATTATTTTGTTTCTAAAAAATATTCTCAGCTAAGAAGTGCATCTCAAAATTTTAATTTTCTCTTTGTTTAAACTTTATCAGATGTAGCAGATAAGTTAAACGTAATCAGGATATCTGATACTTCAGAATTTTTCCACTTAGAGTTAATGAGTTGGGTTCCTAGTTGGTATAAAGAAACTGTAAATGTCTCTAGTTTGGTGAGGTCATTACACATTGAATGTAAGAAAACAAAATAATTCATTGCTTTGCACTTGATTAGACAAAATATGAGGAATATGAGGATAAAATTAATTTTATCCTTGTACTAATCTGGTATGACTTCAAGAAAAGCAGTGAACTTGAATCCTTTACCATCAGCTGATTAGCTAGGTAGGTAAGTAATAGTTTTAAAGATAATGGTAAGTTTAATTTTAAATATTTGGCTTACAAAACCAATAGCTAATTAACAATAACTACAGTATAGATAGTATTTAGTAAATAATGTAGATACATACCATAGGCCGGTGGGAAAGGCATAGAACGGGACGTAGGGAACTTGGCTTCAGTCCCAGAGTTGATGGAATCGCTGGATTCGCGAATTGGTGGTGTGTCTTTTAACATTTCGTGGATGCTTCTTTCAGATTGCCTAGATCGACAATAACACTATCAGCAACTTATCAGGTGTAATACTTGTGTAGATAGATTAATCACAGTACAATGTACAAATATTTTCATTTGAAATGTAGTAAGACGAAGAGTAAAATGGACAAATGTGTGGCAGAGAATCTTTTCAATTAATTAGTTCCCAAATGACTCACCACTTGGACATCTTGCCGGCAACCAAACTGTGTTGTCGAACGAATTGTAAGAATCACAATTCACTTGCCAATTTAATTAGAACAAATATAAAAACAACATAATTTTTACTTAGATTTTACGATTTGCAAAATAAATCGACCGCTTGACTATTTTTTTGTTTGACATTAGGCGTGTTCCAATACGAATACAGCCATGAAAAATACAATTCTTCATACAAGTGACGACCCAATTTTATTCAACTTGTAAAATTGTCAAATGGAATTTGAGCATGAACTTGAGTAGGAACACGCTCTAAGTAATGCAACGGGTATCCTTCCGTTTGGCCAAATTACTTTTCGCCAAATTTCACTTCGCAAACAACTTATCGCCAAAGTTTCATTTCCCAAATGAACTTTTAGCAATTGTACTTTTCGCAACTAATTCATTTGGACAAATTATCATTTGGCCAAATTTTACTTGGCAAATGTTTATATAGCAAATGTTTTATTTTGCCAAATATTATATCCCAAATAATTTGTTTGGTCAAATCGACACTTCACATACTTACCCACAAATCAAACCATAAGGCAGAGGTAGATGATCATGGTTTTCACAAGAATGATATGTAAAACAAAGAGATTGTAGAAAATAGTANGCCAAACATTAGTAATCCACTTGATCCACAAATATTATTTACGTCATGCATCTTGCGCGCCAACTGCACGAAAAAGTTAAACATTCAAAAAAGGGGCAGTCGAAATATCTTATTTAATAAATGAATAATTTTTATTCTATTAACAAACATTTAAAATTAGTGAATACAATGTAGCTATTATTATAATATGTGGGACTTTTTATAGGTCCATGATGTGGGTCTATTTATTTGGTAAGTAATTATTGGGAAAGAGACAAGACACAAAAATAAATAATCAATCGTTTTATTTAAGAAAATATTTTTATTACTTAAATTCTAATTATTTGTATGTACATTAATTTGATCTTCGGTTAAATAATTATATCATTAATCAAAAACATTTGAAATGAAGCAAACTTAATTCAGAAAAAATACGAATGTACAAATAGTTTAGTTACTTACACTATTAATGCAATGATTTATTACAGACTTTTCAACATAACTTGGTACATAATATAAAATACTGTGATGATTTAATTACTCACTATTTTTTTTTAATGTTTGTGATAATGCTACGGACTAGAGTCTTGTATTGCTCATAATGGGAATATACTATCCGTATTGGGTTTAATTATTAATTACCTATCTATCGTAATTATGTATTTATAATTTTCCTTCTTGTCATCCTAGCTCATCTAATTAATTATTGTTGTTTTATTTAATTTTAAAGCTGTTCTGTACGGCTAGCACGATAAACTTTCGAGTTTAAATCGTTTGCGTACTCGAATCGCCATCAAAAGATTTAGTAAGAAAACTACAACAGCGCCCTTGCGCACTCGAATCGCCATCAAAAGATTTAGTATGAAAACTACAACAGCGCCACGAAACTTATTTTAAGAATCAAAATAAAATTGTCACGTTATCGTTTAATTCGAAGATTGAGTATCGAATTTTATTGAGTACGCAAACGATTCGAAGACGAAAGTTGTTCACGCTAGAGGTACTGTACTTTACCGATTTCTATTTGGTTTACAAAAATAAATGCTTCATAAATTACAAAATATTAAGTGATAGAGAGCTCGTTTATTACAAAATATACATTTTACCTAAACGTAATTTTACCTACTTCTTAACTATACCTACTTATAAACTTATCTCGAGATTCACTAAATGGTAACTTTACACATTATTATAAGGTAGAACCGTGACTGGACTAGATGTCCAACTTATAAAATGTAGGTTATTTATTTTACAAATTCGGCCATGCTAATGCTATGTGACTGCAATTGGTGAAACATGAAAACCTCCAAACACTTCTATGTTTAGTGATTGTTGTTGTAATCATCATAGAGCCCTGAGACATCCTAAGTTCGATTCCGACACACAACTTGGCGATGAACTTATTTCACGGTGGTTATGGAACTCGATGGTGGTTGAACACGTCTTTCAAATTAGATATCTCCACCCACAATAGGTTACATTATTTTTCTCCTTTGAAGTCTGAAGGTTTTTCCACTTCAAATAAATAATATTTATTGCACGAGAATCGGCCCCCAGTTATCCATTACACATTTTCGTTGGAAAACGCACGTACAGTGGCCCACAGTTCCAGCTACGCCATTTCCGTTTTTTCTCTCGCTCTCATCGAATGGGTAGCTGGAACCGTGGTCGATAGTACATACCTATTACAGGTGTGAAAACTAGGTACAACCTACTGCACAGTACGTTCTTTATTTCAAGTCGTCAAGTGATAGACGATTGTTAAGGACGGTGGTATCGTAACTTAATTATTAAGTACAGTTATCTTCTTTCACATCTTCGTCAGTCGTCAATTTTGACGAGCGGTGCGTTCTGGTACGGAAGCGTGCGGAGAGGCTTCATCTCCGCTCCAGAACTGTCGCTAACAACGAGCGTCTCCTGGGGGCAACACGAGTTCTTCAACGTCATCGACTCGGTGGACGTTTTGTGGCTCTGTTGACAAGCATGCGGCATTAGATGAGTTTTGTGGGGTGGTCAGCTCGTGGACCTAAAAGTTCAGAAAGATGGATTAGGAAGGCATGCAGAAGGTAGAGAAAGTGAAAAGTGGATGAAAGGGGTGAAAAAGAAACCATGAGAATTAAAGTGGAAGCAGAAAGACTTTCAGGCAAGTTTAACTGAGTGGAAGCTAAGTGGAAGTAGATTTTATCTGTAATGTTATTATCATAATGCATTTATTATGGAAACTAATTTCTTTTCAAACTCTGAAAATTCTGTTAATTCGACGGTCAAGTCTAACTAATCCGAACTGAAGCATTATGATATTTTTGAGGACGTAGTTCAGCAGCATCAGCATGTCGGACAGCTTGGTCAGGGTCGTCAGCTTCTTCCAGAATGCTGGACCCAGATATTGAAAACTTAAGATAACTTACTCCTTTGAAGCAGTGCGCGAGCGTGTGGTATATCGTGCGGCGCTGACGCATCAACACGTACAGGATCGGGTTGAGGACGTAGTTGAGCAGCATTAGCATGTCAGACAGCTTGGCCAGGGTCGTCAGCTTCTTCCAGGACGCTGGGCCCAGCGCTAGGTACAGCGCTGAGGTCACCTGGAAAAGATGAAGAATAGAATGAAATCTAATGAATTTGAGGTACTTCATTGATTAAAAATAAAGATATCGTTAAAACCCAGTAATAACAGAGGAGTTTTGTAATCGCCTGTGCCACTCGTTGGGCGCCAATTTTTGTAAGTCTTGCCAAAGTATGTGATCACCTATTTTACTTTGTAAAGTTTAGGTCAATTGCCTTTATTTTTAATTTAGTTATTACTTTCTAAGTTTCTTTAGTTAACAATGGGAAGGCGCCACAGGTGGCCAATAAACAATATTGCTATTGTTTCATGTAATTGATTAATTAAGGACACGTCCATTGAAATAAGTGGTTTAATCTGTAAAATTGAGTAAGAGGAATTTAATTTTTGATGGGATTACTGATTCGACTCGTTAAAATTATCCTTAAACAAATATTAAATATTGTTTAAAGAAGTTGTTGTTACCATAAAGTTCTTTAACGCAAACTCGTAGACTGCATGAAGGTTCTAATATCTTAGCTTCATAGAACCTTATATTTTAGCCGTCTTTTTAGAAAAACACAAAAACTCTAATGATAAAAAAACATTTCTTAGAAATAAAACTTACAATCACCAACTGTAGGTACAGTACTTATCGAACAAAATTTTTATTTTATAATCACACGCCTTGCAACTTATTATGCGCGAGGCGTCGCAGAGTCCGGTACGCGAAAAGTATTTCATTGTTCCATCAAAAAGGCGCGAGCGCACGCTTTATTTTTAAACTAGCTTTCCGCCCGCGGCTTCGCCCGCGTGGAATTTTGTCTGTCACAGAAAAACTTTATCGCGCGCGTCCCTGTTTCAAAAACCGGGATAAAAACTATCCTATGTTCTTTCCCGGGACTCAAACTATCTCTATGCCAAATTTCATCAAAATCGGTTGCGAGGTTTAAGCGGGAAAGCGTAACAGACAGACAGACAGACAGACAGACAGACAGACAGAGTTACTTTCGCATTTATAATATTAGTTGGGATTGCGAATTGTTTGTGGCTGCCGATAAAGTTTGAATGACTTACTACTACTGGCCAGACATCGTGATACAGATCTTGCTACACTAAAATTCTTTAATTATTGTTTGTAGGCCCTTTTCAGGGCACTTTAAAAAGAAGTGACTAAGTATAATCATGGGGCTAAGAGACCTAAGAGTAGGCGCACACCGTTGATTTTTCGTCGGCCGATAGTTTAGTCGGGCAGTTGATCAGTATGGGCATGTATGGGAGTGCGCACACTACGCCGATTCGATTTGGCCGATTCTTCATACAATTTAAAATCGGGCACAACTATCGGCCAACTAAAAATCAACGGTGTGCGCCTACTCTAAATGTTATACGTATGTAAACTCTCTAGAATAAATACCTGAATTAAGTAGGTATTGTCTAAAACTACGTAGGTACTACTGAAAACTGAAAAACCTTATTTCCTAAGGTAAAGTAGGTAAGTTAAGTGAAAAACAAACCTTATTTCCTAGCAAGTAGCAACCTTATACAGTGTGTTTCTGCTTGAACTTCAGATAATTCACGCGCATATTCTTTGTTAAAGATCGACAAAACAGTAAGTAGTTAGGTACAGTCTACGTGTTGACTTATAAATGTCTCAAGTATTGCACTTCTGTGGGATTACGATGTGACACAATGCGCCTACTCATATTTGGTATGCATGCAGCCCATACAAGAACGATAGTGTTTGTATCTCCGACAACTTTGTCGGCGACAAGTGATGTGCAATGGCGGCTGATCCGTCCATCAAACAGCCCGCATTCGACACGTGAAATGCTGCATTCACAAACACAACGAATTGTTCCCCGATGATTGTAAGGGAATTCCAAACAATTGTGTTTATGTTGGTATTAGTAGATACTGCGCGGAAATTTGAAATTAGAACTTCGCTGCCAACCTCTGAAAGTAAGACGTGATTGTAATTTGTTTGTTTAGCCACTTCTTAAGCCAAGAACTCATTAACGTTTGCCGTAATTTGTCTTTGTGTACCTTAACCTTAATGGTGTAAGGAAGACTGATGAAAATAAGGTAGGGGATCTCCGGACTTGACTTTCTTTTGTTAGCCATTTGTCGGTTTGCTATTATTATGTTGTCACAACTGATTATGTGTTAAGAAAGGCCCATACTACATATAATTTAAGATGACATTTCTTCATGTCTATCTATCATGGGTGTTATGTGAACTGTTACTGAAGTCACAACAGCTATGACATATCATATCATAAACTTTTAAATAACTAAACTGGGAATCGAAACCAGACTTTCTAGTGTAGAGAATGTAACACTCTAACTTTATGTAGAGAGTATGAGCCATGTACTTACAAAGGACAACCGGGGCTTATGCTACTGAATTGATATCAAAGTCCAGCGTTGAAAGTTCAGAAGGGGATCATTGTTCAGGCATAAATTAAGGCAAGCGACGAACAGTGTAGAGTCTGTCTTAAATCTTCTGCAAACGATTTGATAACACACGCCCTTTTGGCCCATTGAATCGCACGTTTCATTAGTTCAGTCTACAAACGACACTACATTGTTCTTGCCTTTTATAGATTCGGAATGCGAAATAACAATAACGAAGTGAATAAAATTGAATAGTTTCATTGTTTTTAACGATTGTACCAAGGTCGTTGAGATCGAGGAGTTCTTCATTTGCATCTCAACATATTTTGCGATACATTCGCTGAATATTAAATGTGTTTGAAGACCCTTTACGGATGATACTGATCGATCGATTGTGTGTATTGAATTCTGTATCCATCGAGACAAACGTGTTAAAAAGCGCTGTATTTTGAACCTTAAGTAAAGGAGAATTTAACTTTGTTTTTATTCGGGACACGGATGTAATTAATGTCAATTGTTCTCTAATTAGGATGAGCATTTGATTCGGAGCCAGGTGTCGAAGAATGCGCGGGTGAATGCTCGGACTCAGTGCCAGGCAAACTCACGAGTTCTATGGCGATACCTGTACCTTATGACGAGAGACGATAGATAAGTGCACAATCTGCCGAAGCTCCCACTGTTTTCTCCACGATTTTCATAGATGAAAAGAATCGAAGAACCAAAAAAAACTAGTCTGTATAGCTATTGCTCTAGCTGATAACACACGCCCTTTTGGCCCATTGAATCGCACGTTTCATTAGTTCAGTCTACAAACGAAACGACACTACATACATAGGTACATCTCTATTTGTACTGACTTTTCTTAACATATTTACCTAGTTTGCATAGAGATTCGATATTCATCTTGGCTATAGCCATGGGAAGGTAAGTTATTAAAATTGGGGTCCAAAGAAGAACAAATTTTAATATTCCCTAAGGGTCAGGGTCTCTATTATTAACTGTCCCATCTATGCTTGGACCACCAAACCCCTGTTAAGTACCCATGCCTTTTAAGTCTACCTATCCAACTTAACTAGTTAACTAAGGTATTCTTACCATCTGTGGAAGCCAGCAGATCATGAACAGAACAGACAGAGTAGCCATCAGCCTGCTGAAAGCCACTTCTTCAGCCGTCGCCGCGTTGTGGTGCAGGCTAGGTTTGCTCCCAGTGCTTGCGTTGAGGCTCCTCTGTCGACAGCTACTCCTGGATACTCTTCGGACCACGGGCTGGTCTCCAGCTCGCGGCGCCGTGATGGAGTATAGAGCCTGGATCACTGCTAGGTTGCAGTAGACCAGGATCAAGCAGAGTAGGGTACCTGAAACAATAGGGTTGGGATTTAGGGCGAAATCAGCTGTTAAAACCCAATGTTAACAGCATTGGTGTGTTCTGGCAGTTAGAGGTAAGATAGCCAGTTCCTCCGTGGTTGAGGATTCCGGGTGAAGCTCGCTTCCACCTTCGGCCTGATCATCACTTACCATCAAGTGAGATACAACAGGCCAAGAGCTGTCTCGTTGTGGATAAAAAAAATGTAGGTTTTAAATAGCTTGCTGCTTCAAAAGAGTATTCCATCATTTGACTGCGTGTCTTATAGAGATCAAAAGGGACGTAGGATTATTCAAAAAGGTACCTTTTTAAATAATCCTGTCTTGAAGAAGTCGAGTCTGACCGGAGTTTTATAGTATCCTGAGCGAGCAGGATAGGTAATATTATTATGTCAACCCTCGTAAGTAAGTACGATTCCATTGTTGTTAACAGCGCGTCTGTGTATCATCACATAAATTAGGGTCGCCGCACATGGATTTTACGCCACAGCCACGAAACGCTGCAAGTGGTATATGGGTAGTTCTACAAATCAGGGAATTTTACGGGGCTCAACTTGCAGCTCCTTAATTTACCAATCAATAGTTTTCGTTTTAGGGTATTAATAAAGTTTAACTCACATAGTACTTGGTCACTGAATTTCAACACGTTTTAATAAAAACATCCCAGACAAAAATGGCTTCAAATGGGAAAAATTAACGAATTGTTTCCAGTCGAAGAAAAGCGTCGAGGAAAGAAGAGGAAGATAATAGAAGGAGATACGAATAGTAGGGAAAAGTCAAAGAGATCAGGTGACGGAAAAAGAAGCAACGTAAATGAGTTCCATGTTCAATTGATAGTGGACCTTTATAATGCACATAAAAGTATTTTTTATTATTTTTAAAGTAAAGACTATAAACTCAAATGTATCTTTCAGTTAAATTTTCACTATCCTGTATATGTTCTCACTTCCCTGTCCATCGAAAATAGAAAAACCGCTGTAAAATCAATATTTATCATAATTTTGTCTGGCCCGTTAAAAATTGGATATGTTGTAGTATATTCTCGGTCTTTAGTCACTGTTTATACTGATTACTAACAAAAACTAGAGATTCATTTTATGGTCCTAAATAATTCCACCGTGAGTAGAACTACCCATATTTAGATACTACTTTCCATGTGGCGTGTTTTGTGGCGCGTTGACAGTGGCGTGATAGCAACTTCGAATGTGGAGTTTTACATTATGCTGCACTCACCAAAGGCAACATAGAACGCTGCGTAAGTGAAGTCCACGGGGTTCACAGCTTCTCTGTAGCGGATGCAGGTGTGGGTGTTCTCGTCGTAGTAGAGACCCAGGCCGAAGACCGGGGCACACGTCAGCACGGCTGCCCAGAACCAGGAGACCAGCAGAGCCATGCGGATCACGAAGTACGTTACTTGCTGAAGCAAAATGTTAGGGTTATTTACATTCCATCGCATAGGCGTACCCGGTTTCTGCAAGAGGGGCAAGCCAGATTTTTTAAGGTCCGATTCTTCTTCAAAGCTTCTTCTAGCGGGGCAGGGGGGACAGCTGCTCATGGTACCATGGGTACGCCCATGTTTCATCGTGTTAACAAGAAGAACCATGAGCTCTTGCCTTTCTGATCTTGTCTTGTAAGCTATAAAAATAGTGCACGTTAGTTAGTTAATGTCGCTATCTTCGTGTCGCTAACTACGGAGGGAATTTCAAGAAATACATAGAAACGAGTAGTGTCGCTGCGACAAGTCGTCCGCTGCTGCCTCATGTCGTCCGCTACCAACTTGCACCTTTAATCGCAACTTGTACCGCAAAAAGCAATCGCGCGCTTTAGACGACTTTGAAAAACTTAAAAATATTATTTAAGGATAGACTTGTTGTTATACTCCTCTACCAAATGGTCTACCAAATGGTCTACCAAAGATAGTTCTCCATGGTCAATTATCTTTACTTATTATTATACAATCACCATCATCTTCAAAGAGTAGGTAGGTATTTAGATACTAGGTAGTCATGTTATCTTGTATGTAAATGCAACTCAAAAATAGATCTTAAGATTGGAAAAGCTAATTGTAACGAGATGACTAATCAATCCACCAGACTCGCGCAATCGGAAACGCAGTTATTATGAAATCATAGCAAGTTCAACTATTTACTATTTAATTTGGATTTGTACACAAAAATAACGTCTGAGGCGTGAAGCAATTTGACCGATTGTTTGGGCATTATACAAGCTTCCACTTCCTCCGCACATTTATAGATTCGCTTCCTTCCATTCCTTATATGATTGGAAACGAAATAACTGTGTGTTGTCGGTAGTTTTTTATGGTTTATTTTATCTTATATTGAGTTTGAAATTAAACTGCCATAATATGTGGACCCTTTAAATTTTAAAAGGGTCATCAAAGTTTGACATATCATTGAAAAAGATAAATCTGTTATGGGTAAATTATGTCTTACACATAGCATGTAACTGACTAATCCACTACAGCTTTATATTTGTAGTGCATACTTTAATTACCTTTTTGTCCAGTAGTGGATGACATTAGGCTGAAACGAGCCAAGAGTTTTCTCTATGAATTATTCCGGCTACACTCAATTAGGATTTGGAAGAAATTAAAATCCGTACGATAGACTTTCCTTAGGTAGAGTCCTTTGAAGAAGTTATGTATCTTAGTTAAGTATACCTACATGTCAAACAATAACAATTAACTAGGTTGTCTTCCTTAGCCTCCATAAGTTCGACTATTCTTGGGTAGAGTCTTTAAATAAGTTCTGTACCTCATAATAAACACGTGACCAAAGATCTATCATGTCTAATACATGCCATAGATATTTGTTTACTCGTCCATTGTCGAAATAACCCAGTTCCATGGCATCATTCGTCTAGATTGAGCAGGCGCACGTATGCCCACCATTTGCATTGTAAAACCTGTGGCGCAAGAGATGAAATGGGTCATCAAACGGCTTCAAACTACCAAGAGTATCTACTACAAGTAGGACATAATTTCAATAATGATCCTTACCTATAAGTTTATAAAGTACACTCAACTTTTATAACCTGAGGTAGTATACAGGGTGACAGGGAAACTCGACCTATTCCTTGAAAAGGATTATTTCCCACTCAACATCAGGAGCGATTGTGGTCAAATACCTGCCTTGTTATGCATAAAAATAAAAATAAAGATTATGAGTAAGTTTTGGGCAAGCACTTTTTTAATGACCCTTAGTATAATCCCTTTCAAGGAATAGGTCGAGTTTTCCTTTCATCCTGTATGCTTGAGTGATCAAAATCAAGCAAGTGATTTTGCACAGCGACGTTATTTAAGCACATTTAACTATATTCCTTTAAGGACGACGAAAATATTGCGAAAATGTGAAAAATATTCAAACGATTTTCACAAAGTCGCGGGCACAACTATTTACTGACCACCTACTTGTTACACCATCTCATCTAATCAAATCTCCGAACAAATACTTGTTACAATCAAAGACAGACTATCAAATCCGTACTCTTTGTTCGTATTCAATATTCAATTCGATTTTCCTCCAATGAAAGTATGAACTTCTCATAACCATTATTCATGTCAATATTTTTGCAAACACAGTTTATGACTTTGTTTTTGATGTCGATAAAGAATAAAAATACCGTGGTATTGACCCGATTATAGCTTTAGAGCTTAAAATTCTGCAAGTAGATAGCATTCAAATATATTTTTGCAAACTAAGAATATGTAGATATAAGGAAAAAGATGTAACGCTACGGACCAAAAAAAAACAATACTGCGTAGGTACCTACTCGATTCAATCTCAGTTTAAGGCTGGGTTGCACCATCTTACTTTAACTCTGACAAACGTCAAAAATCTATCAAACTCCATACAAAAAACACCGGTTATCATTATAGTTACTGTCAAAGTTAGGTGGTGAAACTCATCCTAAAAGTTTTAAATGTATTGAAATTCAATTAGTCAAAAGCTAACTATAAGCTTGAATTGAATCGAGCTTTGAGTTTCGTTCTGTAAAAGCTTCTAGATCTGAAAAATAAGATGAAAATGCAGTCCTCAAGGAGTTTACACCACATTGCAAGAAACAAGAATATTCTGCTCTGTAATGGAACAATAATAACACAAGCTTTATTTTCTTAACGCGAAGTAAACATAAACAGCACAAAAGGATGGCTAATTATAAAACATAACAATAATATAATAAGAAAATGCTATCTTTGAAAAGGGCCATTGAAGGAATAAGGTGACCAAAATTAAAAATTATAATAAGTAGGACATTGAATAACTGCTTCATAACATAAAATTATCTCCGTGAATTATCTTCGTGGAACCTTATGACAAGAAGTGGTTTAAGTTTGTGCCATATAGGTAAGAGATATTTCTCTATCCAGCATTTTATTTGCAAATAGAGAGAGACTATATCCACAGACGGTTTTTGAAACGCAAAGTTAACAAAACATTTACCAAGGTAAGCGTAGTGTTTCATCGTCACTCAATCATAATAATTAGCCGTAATGTCTAGGCTAATGTGCAGTTTAGTCGGGTAAGATGATAATAATATAATTTATCGCAAATAAACATTATCAAACATTAGCTTCTCCTAAAAAATAAACTAAGCTTAGATTTCCTCACTATCTTTAGTCGTATTACAATCTGTACCTACCTATATAACTAGGTATTAATGTATAGAGACTTTAAATTGTTAGGTAGGTACGTAATTTTCTGAGGTTCTGATTCTAATTCTAGAATCAAATGGCGACGTAAGATTGGGAAAGACGACTCCGTGTAACGGGATAAGGCGAGTCAGAAGAAGAAGAAGAAGTATGAAGGTCTGAGGTTGTAGAGATTCCTTCAGTTCGTTCGTTCGTTCGTTTCAGCCAAATGACGTCCACTGCTGGACGGAGGCCTCCCCCAAGGTTTTCCACAATTTCCTTCAGATTCTAATAAAAAAAAGAACTGCAAAAATAATTCAGAATTTCTTAACACTTTCACAGACAGTAACCCAGACACAATAGAAGTTTAATTGTTATGAATGCTATAGCAGTTCATGTCTATCAAAGTGTTAATAGTTGGTCACCCTACAAACCCGGACTTAGCATGATAACGTCACGTTACGAGCCTCCAAGTCGGGTGGCCCAACAATAAGCAATATAGCCTTATAGTGGTGATGAGATTGCCCAGCAGACAATCAGCAAGCATTCTGTTATGGGGCATCAAGGTGACCCTTTGGTAGCAAAAATTATACTTTATAGGTACTATAAGGTCCAGCGCTTAACTCAGTGGTTCTTAACCTTTAAGTCACGAGGGACCATTTTACCAAATTTCTGTCTTGTCAGAGACAACTTTTTTTTTCAAAATCCTATGAAAGGGGAGGTCGATTTCTCGCCCACTGCGCGCCGTTTGCGTTGTGTTGAGGTTGACATGACTCATCACGTCACGTCACTTGTTTATTAGGTACGATGTCTTCGTGGACCACTTGGAATGCCTCCAGGGACCACCGGTTAAGAACCACTGGCTTAACTGATTCAATGCCTGGGGAGTGGGAGAGGCATGGGAGGGTTGACATTGACATAATATTATGACGTGACAGACAGTAGCGGCGGTGGAGGCGGTCCGCCCCGGGTGCCAATCATCAGGGGGTGACACAAGACGCGCAGATTAGTACTCACTGGTGCATCTGCATGGCAAGTCTGCGGTCTATGTGATTGTCTTTCAATCTTCGAAAACACCCTTTGGTATCTCGTTTTCAGGTAAGGCTATAGTCTACTTTTAGTCGGTTTACATACAACTCGCAAGCGTTAATTTAAAAAGCATTTGAGCTTATTGGGTCGCGTCATTTATCTTCACTTGATTCGTCTGATACTTACTGCGGGTTCAATTTCAGTCGGCGTCAAGTGAATGCACTCAGTGAGAAGTGAGAAATTTCTGATTTTAAAGTAGTGTAAAAATAAAATTGCACAACTTTCACTGGAGGCGAAATACGATACGAAAATATACATCTATATCTTAATAGTTATTAAATAGAGTCTCTTTTTACTTTAATTACAAATATTGACATTCTTAGATGATCGTTTATTCCAGCGACTCTACATAGAGAGATTTATTAGAGAGAGTTTCCTAATCTCAGGAGATAGAAAAGCTATTTATTTTTCTCCTTTTCTTTACAGTTGAACACAACCTTCAAATGTCAAAATAAAAATAAAAATCTATTTTACAACGTCTGAAAACAGTAAAACAAATCGATGTTTCTCGATGCAATCTAAAAGATCGATATGAAGACATCCATCATTCGCTGAAACTAATTCTAATTTTAGTTGTGCGAAAGTATGACGTATGGTCTATGCATTTTGTGAAGTGGAAAATATTATACTAAAACTATGGCTAAACATAAATGTGATCAAAAATGAGGTCAACAGTG